ATCCTTTGTAAGCACAATCAAGAATCCCTGTACCAGGTAGCATCCACACACAAGGGAGCAACAGCAGCAGCTGTTGCAAAAGAAACTCAGTGGGAATTCATGCTGCTCAAACATCCCTAACTCCCAATGAGATTTCCCATCAAAAATCCATAAGGTCAGCAGGGAATAATGCGCTAGATAATGTCTATTTCCCTGCTCTGCCACTTTGCATATCTAGATCTACATCTACACACATAGACAGAGATCTACACGCGTAGAGCTCACTAAAGAGCATCCCTGAGGGTCACCGTCTCACAGAGAGGTGACGAAGTTATGGAGCAGTGGCTCCCCTCTGACAGCAGGGACCTGGGATATTTCATCTTCTCCATGTATGAGGGCTTCTTTACGGGAACTGCTCAACAGAGCAGTTTGTCCATCCTTCAGATTTACTCTAGAGGGAGGGTGATTTCCAAAGTAAACTCTGCACTGCTCATTAGCCACTGTGAAAATCAGCAGAGCTGGCTGTATTGGAAATGGAAATGGACTGGCGCTGTTTTTGTCTGTGTTTGCAGCAGTTTGACCAAGAGACCCAGGAAACCCTGACAGAAATTGTGTCAGTCTGCTGTTTAATTGGGCAGAAGGTAATCATACCATCAAATATATTGGGGGGGGGATTACATGGGGGGGGGGGAAAGAGTGATTTACACTAAAGGACAATAATGGCACAAGGAAAATGGGTATAAACTGGCCATGAAGAAATTCAGGCTGGAAATTAGTAGGTTTCTAACTATCAGAGGCAGGGGTGTGCAAAGGAATAAAAAATGTGGCTGCTTCTGGAGGGGCACTTTTTGTGCCCTCCCCCCCACCCCGCAGAGGAGCTGCCTCCCCTCCCCCCCATCTGGAAGAACTGCCTCCTGCCCCCGCTGCAGCCCTGGGGCTGGTGGAACTGCCTCTCCCTCCCTCCACAGCCCCAGCAGCTGGAGGAGCTGTCATCTCCCCCCACAGCCCTGGGGCCGGTGGAGCTCGCTCTCCCTGCTCTGGCCCCGGGAGGAGTTCTGTGCCCCTGCTGATTGGGGGGCAGGGGGCATACCTTCTGGAACAGCTTTCCCTTAGGAGGCATGGAGGCAAACAAGCTAAGGAGTTTTAAGAGACAGCTTGATAAGTTTATGTTTGGGATTACATGAGGGTTGCCCCCAATAGCAGGGAATTGAATGCAAAGACCCAGAAGGCCCCTTCCAGTCCAATGTGTCTAGATGCCTAAACCAAAACACAGCCATGTACTGCCACCTTCACCCATCCCTGCCTTAGGCTCTGCCATTGTGGAGCATGAGGGGTAAGTCTGCACCCAGGACAGGTAACATCCCTCTCAGCATGGCTGCATGAATATAATTTTCTTTCTTGGGCCCTTTCCTCCCAACTTTTCTTTATGTTTCCACTTCTCTTCTCTCTGCCTCCCTTCCCTGCCCTCTGTTCAGTGAGCTTACTTCTGGCATAGTCTCCTGCCACCACGCTGTGCTCAGGCAAAATTCCCACTGGCTTTTACTCGAGCACTCCTGCAGTGAAGATTACAGGGTTTATTTTCTTATTATTTAACATTTACATTTCAGTAACCACTGGAAGTCACAAGCAAGTCAGAGCCTCATTGTGCTCGGTGCTGTACAAACAGAGGAAATTACAGTCCCTGCCTCAAAGAGTTTACAGGCTGAAAGAAAAGACAACAGGTGGAGGAGAGAAACAAGTGGGAAGGGAGAGGGGTGGAGAAGAGTGGCCAGGAGAACAGAACGAATAGGATGCTCTTGCACAGAGAGCTCACAGGGGCAATTCTTAGCCAGGCAGTTGCCGCCAATCACAACTTTACCACCTGCACATCCAGTACCCGAGGCCCATTTGCCCTGCACTGTGGCAAAGGGATTTGAAGGAGAATAACACGGTGGCTTTACAGATTTTGGCTGGGAGTTCCCCCAGGCCTGAGGGGCGGCACGGGCAAAAGCACAAAGGTGCTCAGGGTGGGAGAAGCAGGCAACCCTGGCTGGTAGAGGGAAGGCGGGAGTCAGCCTTGCAGCAGCAGCAAGGACAGACAGAAGGAGGCTAAGCTGCGAGGTCGGGACAAGGAGCCTGTGCTCCATGCGAAGGCGCCGAGCCCCTGAAGAAGTGGGGTTTTTACCCAGGAAAGCTTATGCTCAAATAAATCGGTTAGTCTTTCAGGTGCCACCGGCCTCCCTGTTGGGTTTTTTTTTTTCAGCCTGAAACCTGTGCGCCCCCCCCCAGGGGTGCCCCCCGCGGGCCGGGTCAGCTCCGGCCGCAAGGGGGAAGGTGAGGGGCTGCGCTGCAGCAGACGGGAGAGAGTCGGGCCCTCGCAGGGGCTCCCGCCGCCGGCCCCCCGGGGCACCTCGCCCAGCCACTCATTCATCCGGGCTCCGCCTTCGCTCCCCCCCGCCCCACGCTGGCCCGCGCCCTCGGCCCCTGATTGGCTCCTTCCCGCGTCAGTCGGCCTGAGTTTATTTGGTCGCGTGGACCTGTCAAGTCCGGCGCGTGTGGTGGGGGGATGTGCCTTGACCGGCCCTCCCCGCTCCCACGTGGCAGGCTGGGCTGGCACCGGCGGCGCGTCCGAGGCCAGGTCTCCCGCGGCTTTTGCAGGCCGGCCGGGGGCAGCGGACAGTCTGAATCAGCGCAACCAGGGATCCGGCCGCCTGCCACGAATCAGTGGGAACTTCCCCTGCCCCCCGCAGAGCGCTAACGGGGCCTCCCGCTGGGCAGTGAAATCCACCCCCCCATGGGACAGCCCCCCCCTCGCCGTTAGCAATTAGCTGTGCAGATACCTGGGAGAGCTCCCCCCATCCCTGGTAGCAATTACCTGTGCAGAAAGCTGGGACAGCCTCAAACCCCCCCCGCTCCCGCCGTTAGCAATTAGCTGTGCAGATACCTGGCACAGCCTCAACCCTCCCCCCCAACCCCCGCCGTTAGCAATTAGCTGTGCACATACCTGGGACAGCCACAACCCCCCGCCCCGCCGTTAGCAATAAGCTGTGCAGATACCTGGGGGAGCCCCCCCCCCATCCCTGGTAGCAATTAGCTGTGCAGAAAGCTGGGACAGCCTCAACCCCCCCCCCCAGCCGTTAGCAATTAGCTGAGCAGATACCTGGGACAGCCTCAAACCCCCCCCCCCTCGCCGTTAGCAATAAGCTGTGCAAATACCTGGAAGAGCTCCCCCATCCCTGGTAGCAATTAGCTGTGCAGAAAGCTGGGACAGCCTCAAACCCCCCCCCCCCCCCCGCCGTTAGCAATTAGCTGAGCAGATACCTGGGACAGCCTCAAACCCCCCCCCCCCTCGCCGTTAGCAATAAGCTGTGCAGATACCTGGAAGAGCTCCCCCATCCCTGGTAGCAATTAGCTGTGCAGAAAGCTGGGACAGCCTCAACCCCCCCCCAGCCGTTAGCAATTAGCTGAGCAGATACCTGGGACAGCCTCAACCCCCCCCCCCCTCGCCGTTAGCAATTAGCTGAGCAGATACCTGGGACAGCCTCAAACCCCCCCCCCCTCGCCGTTAGCAATAAGCTGTGCAAATACCTGGAAGAGCTCCCCCATCCCTGGTAGCAATTAGCTGTGCAGAAAGCTGGGACAGCCTCAAACCCCCCCCCCCCCCCCCCCGTTAGCAATTAGCTGAGCAGATACCTGGGACAGCCTCAAACCCCCGCCGTTAGCAATAAGCTGTGCAGATACCTGGAAGAGCTCCCCCATCCCTGGTAGCAATTAGCTGTGCAGAAAGCTGGGACAGCCTCAACCCCCCCCCCCCGCCGTTAGCAATTAGCTGTGCAGATACCTGGAAGAGCACCCCCATCCTGGTAGCAATTAGCTGTGCAGAAAGCTGGGACAGCCTCAACCCCCCCCCCCCCCCCCGCCGTTAGCAATTAGCTGTGCAGATACCTGGGAGAGCCCCTGCATCCCTGGTAGCAATTAGCTGAGCAGATACCTGGGACAGCCTCAAACCCCCCCCCCCCCCCCGCCGTTAGCAATAAGCTGTGCAGATACCTGGAAGAGCCCCCCCATCCCTGGTAGCAATTAGCTGTGCAGAAAGCTGGGACAGCCTCAACCCCCCCCCCGCCGTTAGCAATTAGCTGAGCAGATACTTGGGACAGCCCCCCAGCAATGCACAGGACCCCCGTCTGCAATGACTAAGAGAAACCCTGCGTGCCGCGCCTCCCGGGGAGCTCCTCGCGCCATGCCCAGAATTGAGGGAACCCCTGGCGTGCAGTGACTCAAAGGGACCCTCCTTTCTACGCAGCGCTTTCAGGAGATTCCCTTGTTCCCACCCACACACCCAGCCGCGGGGAAACCCCTGGGCCCTCCGGGACACCCCGGGGCTCGTCTGTTAGTTGGCTGCCTTGAGCGCGGGGTTCGCACGGGCTGGCCCATGTCCCCCCAGCCCTGGGCAAACTTCTGCCTGCTCCGCGGGGAGGGAGCCCACCAGAGCCCCCAGCCGGCAGCATCCCCCACCCCCTGGGCACGGCCTTGCCCTGGGGCGGCAGAGCTGCGGCCCCTTCCTCCAGCCCCTGTGGGTGCTCCGCTCCGGCAAGCCCGGGGGTGGGGGACAGGCACAGGGGCGGCAAGGGAGGGAGCCTCCGCAGGGTCTAGCAAGGGGTGGACGGCGCGCCTGGCCCCCTCCCTGCGTCTCTCCCAGCAACAGTTTGCCTCTCAAGCCCTAGAGGGAAGAGTGTGCAGAGGCGACACGCCGAGTGCATGTGTGAACGGGGGGGGGAGGAAGAGGGGAGGGGAGGGAGCAGGCTACAGACATCCGGGCCCTTTGCACATTCCAGTCCCACTGCCCTGTGCAGCAGCCGCCACCTCCGGGAGACGCTGCCAGCCGCCAGCAGAGCGAGCGCGGCAGGGCTCGAGCCCCGCGGTGCAGCGGCAGCGGCTGCCAGCGCCCGACGCTGCCAGCCCGGCCAGAGCCGCAGCTGGTGCCGGCTGCGCGGCGAGGAGACGCGGACAGCTGAGCCGCTGCCGCCTCCGGGCGACCCTGGCAGCCGCGGCAGCCGCGCGCCGAGTGAGGCGGGGGCGCTGCGCCCGCAGCTGGGCGGCGGGCGGAGAGGAGCCTTCCTCCACCACCCAGGTTGGTGCCCCGGCCGCGCTCCGCACGCCTTCCCCAGACCCCCCGCCCGCGGCTCTGTCCCACCCTGGGGTCCGGCTCTGGTGCCCGCCGGAGGGATGCTGCCATGCTTGCGGGAGGAGGGCTCGAGTGGTTCTTTCAGGTCCCTGGGGGAGGGCTCTGGGCTGGCATTAGTGGGCGAGAGGAACGGGGGATGGCTGGGAGGCAGGATCTTGCAGCTGGAAGCAGGGGAAGGTTGTGTCTGCAAAGGGCGGGGGGGAGCATTTGCAGAGCGATCAGACAGGTGGTTTTCTTGGGAAGTTTCGCTGTAGTTTGCGTGGAAACCATAGTTTCCATAAGTCTGCCTGGCATTTGGAGGCGATTTCCTGTCCTGCCCTATTGGAGTTTATTTATTTACAGAGGCTGTGCCGGAGCCATGGAGCTGCCTGCAGCTGGGCAGTGTAACAACAGCTCCTTGGGATGGCTAATGGAAAGGTGGGGATGAGGGGTGCTCCTGCTGAAGTAGTGAGAGGACAAAGCTTTCAGCACGTCCCTGGGGTCCAAGGCACCCAACAGGCTGTGAGAATTGGCAACTTGTTACATTTTACAGCAGCAGTTAGAATTTTATCCTTAATTGTTTTTAGTGCAGACTTCTAGATGGGCAAAAGATGTATAGTGTCTGGTTTGGTGACATGAAAGAGAAAAAGTAAAGAACTAAGAAATTGCTTTAACAAGTCTCTCTTGGCTTAAAAATCACATACTAAAACCAAACCCCAAATCTCTTTACCTACGCTGTTAATAACACCGTCAATTTTAAAATCTAAATGGATGTTAATTTTGTAGACAGCTTTACTTTTAGGATCTTATGTTCTCGTGCAATGCTGTATGTTTTGGTAGCAAACATTGGGCAGGGAGTGTGTGTGTGTTTAAACCCTATTTATAATGCTTTCTAAAAAAGAGTGAACACATTTCTGTTGCTTTTAGTTTCTGTAAATTCTTGTTTTTACAAAATCTAAATTTTCAGCCAGATTTGACCCCAAGACTTACTGTACCTTTAAGCATCCACAATGTTCATGCCACAATTAGGAATGAAATGGAAAGATAAGTATATCCTTTCACTGATTTGCTCCATAACTCGATGTAAATGGTTAAAAGAAATCCATCAAAACTCTGCTAACGCAATGTGTTTTTGTACTTATAACAAATGGAGGAACAGTCTCTTGACTGTAAATTTGTATCCAGGAGGGAAAGGCTGGGCTTGTGGTTAAGGCACTGAATGTGACTCAGGAGACTTGGATTTAACTCCCAGCTCTTCCTGTGTGACCTTGGACTTGCTTCATTTTCTGTGCCTCAGTTCCTTCCCTGAAAATGGGTTTAATAATATTTCCTTACCTCGTGGGCATGCTGCAAGGATAAATCTATCAATATTTGTGAGTGCACACAAGATATTCTGGTGAGGGACCTGTGTAAGTAGATATAACTGAAATTGCATTTCCCTCTTGTCTATACTCTAATGGGATAAAGAAACATCATCAAATGGAAATCCTCCTAGGGAACTGTAGGAGACCATTGAAGTCTGTAAATTCTTGTTTTGTTTGGGCCTGAACTTGCAGTCATTGCACATGGAGGTTAAGGACTGCTGGGTCAGTGATGAGAGCTGCCTTGAGACCTTCTGGAACAGAACTTTGTATCGGGGGGGAGGGGGGAACTGAACACCTAGACTTTACGAGTTACTCCCAAGCAAAGCCCTTTAGAAGGAAGTCTTGCTGTTTCAGTATTCCAGCAGGGATTAAGGAATGTGTCAGCCTTGTGGATTAGTTTGTTGTCGGCACAGATGTTAAATTCAAGGATTTGGACACCTTTCTGGATTCCTTTTTTGCAATAGTTTAGAAGCTTGCAGATGAAGAAAGATGGGGCTACCCTTTCACAGGGCTATTGTGGCTTTAGTTTATGTTGTAGCTAACAGCATAAAAAGATTAAAGAATAATGATCCAACACTTAAGTAAAACAACAGGAAGCATTATTCTCACCTGAAGATTCTCTGCTACTTTACAACAACCTACGTTGCAGACCCTGAATCACAGATAGCTGAGAGGGCAGAGAACTCTTTTAGTTATGTTGTCCATCTCCCAGCTAGCTGAAAACTTGTTGCACCTTGCATTATTCTTGAGTATTCTCCCTGAGATTCAGGGAGCAAATAAGCAAGCCAAAGACTAGATTGAAGCTGACTAGGTAGAAGGTGCTCATATTTAACAGTGCAGATAACTAACCGTTGGAACAGGTTGCCAAGGACTGTGATGTAGTCTCGGTTTCTTGGAATCTTTAAATCAAGACTGGAAGGGTCTCTGAAAGGTAGACTGTAGTTCAGACAGAACTTATGGGCTAGATGCATAACACAAGCTATGGAATTTCACCCAGTGATTCCTGCAAGAGGTCAGACTAGATGATCGTAATGGCTTTAAAATCTATGATTCCTCCCCACCTTGATGGCCCAATCTGCTATCTTTATTGAGACAACACTCCTGCTGAAGTTGCTGGTAACAGTACTTAATTTAATAGCTCTTACACTCAAGCAAATATAACCTTGAATGAGAACGTCTGTTTCAGTTAATATAGCCTGCCATAGAGCAGCCTGTAACTTACAAGATGTTCTTTTACTACTTGTAAATGATACTGTCTTCCTATTTTATGCCCTCCAATTTTGTGTTTATGGGGAGGTAGCTCTGCTGCAGCAGATTGCTGCCATGAATTATCTATCACATCTCCTTTGCTCACCCTCTCAGCACTAATTTCACAAACTTGCTTTACAATGGAGGGGGCCCAATCCTTTTCTCATTGAAACCCACTGCAGGACTCCCTTTGACTTCAATGGGAGCAGGACGAGAACCCTGTTTCGTGTACTAGCTTTTCAAATTCACTGCAGGCCAGATGCTTCCTTCTGGTTGTGGGAATGGAGGGGAGGCTGAAGCCATGGGTCTCAGCTGGGAGGCAGAGGGAGGGAGCGAAAGCTGCATAGTATTCCCTCCTGGGTAAGGATAAGCCTTGTCTGTGGGAGCTCATGGAGCTTCAGCCAAATGGGTAAAGTGGGGACTGGCTGGAGCAAAAAGGGGTAGAGAAGCAGCTGGACTCCACTGTATTCTTCTCCCCCTTCAAGCCCATAGGCCAAGCCTGTGCCTGCTACTGCTCTGTGCATGTACAAATGCAGTGGCTCCCCTCAGCTCTGCATGGATGCAATGACTCCTTGCTTCCAGAGTATCTTCTACAATGGACTGTCCCTGGAGCTCATGGAGAAGTAGAGGAGGTTCTGTTGGTCCAAACTCCACACCTACGTTTACCCATAATGTCTAATGGAATGTGGACCAAGGCTGGGGTGGGGATACAGCTGTGGCTAATTAAATGGCAGGACCTGCATACGAACTTACTAGTTGACTCTTGTCCTGTAATTGGATCCATATGTGTGGAATGGTCAGTGGTGCTCAGCATGTGTATCGGGGCCCTCCTGTGTAGCTCTGATGGCTGGATTGCAGACTTGCATGGTAAATTCTTGGAGGCAGAGACGGTGGGTGAAATCCTGGCTCCCTGCAGTCAATGGGAGCTTTGCTACTGACTTCAGTGAGGCCAGGATTTCACTCCTTAACGTGGGTACTGTGTATATATACAGCACCTAGCACTGTGGGGCTCTGAATGGAATCTTTGGGCACTGCTGAATTTCCAGTACTACTAATATTACTAAAAAGTGGAAAGGATTGGCTGAGAAGTGGAGTAGGGAAAAGACTGGACTCCTGCTGGACAGCGAATACATTGCTCTACTCTACCATGGAAAGGGGAGGGGAACTTGGTGGGCCGCTTTCAGTGCTGATGACGGAGGGACCTTGCCTTTGACAGGTCTGTTAGCATTCGCAATTACCAGGATGTACAAGCAGTGGTTAAAGTAGATTGGAACAGGAGGGGGAGCTCTCAGGGCATCAGTCAGGGAGGCTGGGGAGCTGGGAGGAAGCACTGCTTACACAAGCCTGATGTAGCTCCCTCTGCTTTTAGCAAAGGAGGGGCACCTGTGCTCCTCTCCCTCCCCCACCCAATTCCCCTTACTTTAACCTGCTGTATACAGAGAAATATTAGTCATTACCTTTGACTTTATTATTAAGCCTTAAGATGCAGGTTTTTTTATTTAAATCTAAATATTGCAGGCTATACTATGCCATTGATTTTTTTTAAGTCAAACTCCCCACTGAAATCATTAAAGTTTAAAAATTGATGGTACAATATGGCCTTTTATTAGCAACATAACTTTCTTTTTTAATCAACACGAAAGGGCAGAGTCTAAGCTCAGATTTGTGTTCCACATCTCTGCAACACTCAGACAATGCCCCCTCCTCCGCAGAGCAGTTCCATAGCTGTCAATGCAGCTTTACAAGGCTATTCTTTAGGAAAACATAAAGAAGAGAATCAATGTCTGCGAGGTCCCCTTTTCTATTCTCAAAAAGAAAAGGAGTACTTGTGGCACCTTAGAGACTAACCAATTTATTTGAGCATAAGCTTTCGTGAGCTACAGCTCACTTCATCGGATGCATACTGTGGAAAGTATAGAAGATCTTTTTATACACACAAAGCATGAAAAAATGGGTGTTTACCACTACAAAAGGTTTTCTCTCCCCCCACCCCACTCTCCTGCTGGTAATAGCTTATCTAAAGTGATCACTCTCCTTACAATGTGTATGATAATCAAGTTGGGCCATTTCCAGCACAAATCCAGGTTCCCCCCCACACACACAGACCCACTCTCCTGTTGGTAATAGCTAGATAAGCTATTACCAACAAGAGAGTGGGTCTGTGTGTTGGGGGGGGGGAGGAGAACCTGGATTTGTGCTGGAAATGGCCCAACTTGATTATCATACACATTGTAAGGAGAGTGATCACTTTAGATAAGCTATTACCAGCAGGAGAGTGGGGTGGGGGGAGAGAAAACCTTTTGTAGTGGTAAACACCCATTTTTTCATGCTTTGTGTGTATAAAAAGATCTTCTA